AGTCTGCTAGATTTCGCTGGGATACCGTGCTATTCTTCCCTTCGTTGTTGCGGACCCCGGCGTTTGATTACGTCGAGTATCGTCGGGTGGATCGAAACTACCCATGTTCGACCTGCCGCCGGGTGTTGATCCGTCCAAGGCGGCTCCTACGAGCAAGAAGCGGAAAATACCCAGAAGCGGCAGGCCGGCTGCTCTCAAGGCCCTATTGGGACTGGCGTTCATCGGTGCTTTCGTTGTATTTGCGCCCATGTACACTACCAATCTTCTGCTGGGCAAGGAATTCGCTGCATACGGGTTCTTCAGGAAGATCTGGGTGATGTATGTGTTTGGATTTGCGGCTAGATTGAAGTACTACGGTGTTTGGTCTTTGGCTGAAGGTGCTTGTATCCTCTCTGGAATGGGATATAACGGTGTCGACCGCAACACGGGACAGGTGTTTTGGAATAAGCTTGAGAACGTCAACCCCTGGGGTCTAGAGACTGCTCAGAACCCTCATGCGTTCCTCGCCAACTGGAACAAGAATACAAACCATTGGCTACGGAACTATATCTACCTCCGTGTCACCCCCAAGGGGAAGAAACCTGGTTTCCGTGCAAGTTTGGCTACCTTTGCTACCAGTGCCATTTGGCATGGTTTTTACCCAGGTTACTACCTGACGTTCATCCTGGGCTCTTTTGTCCAAACAAGCGCCAAACGTATGTTCCATGGACTATTCATTATTTACTCGTCTCTTGAATATTGTATCAATACTGACAATGCTTTATAGATTTCCGCCGTCATGTCCGCCCCTTTTTCCTAACCCCTGACGGCACCGCTCCAACTGGTTTCAAAATATACTACGACATCGTCAGCTGGGTTGCAACCCAACTCACAATGAGCTTCACCATTGCTCCATTCATCCTCCTGGATTTCGCGGACTGCACTATCCTCTGGGGTCGCCTCTACTTCTACATCATAATCGGCATCGTCGCCACCCTCACTTTCTTCAACAGCCCCGCAAAAGCCCAGCTAACTCGCAGGCTAAACAAACGCAACAAGGTTGCCACCGGAAAGGCTGGGAGATGTAACCTGGCAACCTCGCCCAACAAGACAAGCCGGCTTAATGAAGCTGCCGCTGCCAAAGCAAGGGAGAAAGCCCAGGCTGATGCCAGGGGAGGTGCAGGCTGGTCAAACACCGTATACCGAGCAACCTCTTGGTCTGCCCAATGATTTGGCGCAGGATGTCGAAGATGCCGTGAACGAGATAAAGAAAGAGATTGAAACCAGACGACGACGTGGTAGTCTGGTCACGATGCCTACTGGTGCGGAACTGAGGAACGTACTGGAACAGAAACTAGGCAAGGCTCCTTTTTAACGTGCTATGACGAGATATAATAATGTTGGATGGGGGCTATATCCTGATTTTAAACCCTATTTTTTGCAAGCGCCGTTGATGCTGTCATCTGGATGTATGCGCCCTAATTAGAGAGGATGGAGGGTGTCTTTGTTTTCTCATTCTCTTAAGAACTGAGGATTGGAAAATAAAAAGAGTGACGACTTATGCTTTATACCGTAGAACGATATCTACTATACGCAACGTGCCATTCACTCGGGTAATTTGGTTTGATTTCGGTTGGTCTAGAGTAGAGAAGAAGTAACAAAACATCGTCAAAGAGGGACGGATGGCTGACATATTGTGGAGATCATTGCCAGAAATAGAAGAACAAAGAGGTATTTTCAGACATTAATCAGCTTTTTTTACATTCATTTTCAACATATTGTGTCGAGCCACCTGGTATGAATATGATGAATATATAATGACAAACAGGGTTGCAATTTTTATAGGCATGGAGCGTATAGAGCAAGCAAGGTTGATTGAGTTTGGCAATTTGAGCGCAAAAGGGTTCGAAAAAGAAAAATATAAGGGGTTAAAGATGGTATAAAGTTGAAGAAGAGCAAGAAAAGGGTGGTTGAATAACCAGAAACGAGATGTTTCGACGAATGAAAAGGGCCATAGGGGTAGGCAGGTGGGTGGCGATAGGGGGGTTAAGGTAATAAGGTAATAAGGTAAGGTAATAAGGTATAAACAGTAGGGTTAAAAGGGGGAGAGGGTGGTGGGGAATCAAATCAAAAGTCAAGGAAGTGACTGTGCAGTATATTGCAGTCGAAAAGGACCCGAAAGTAATAAAGACGAAGCAAGGGATTTGCGCGCTTTCGTTAAATCGTAGAAAGGAGAAATCATTCCCCTAAACGTACATTGTTTTGGTAAGGAGGAGCAGAAGACGAAAATTGGGGGGAAAAGCGAATATAAAAAGCCAAACCATCATTGAAAACGTGGGACCATAAACGGTTGGATATATATATAAGTATGTCATATATAGATCCGGTGCCGTATTAGAAGCGTAAGGGCATAAGTACTAATTAATGTTGTTTTACAACATGAAATCAAAAAACGAGGTCATGTATCATAGGGCGTTTCGTGATCCAAGAACGGATAGTGTGATCTGTTGTTATGTGTTAGTAGAGTGATGATTGAAAAATGTTGTGAAAATGAATGAACATACAACTATTACAATGATTGACAAGCCAACTGGTGTCATGCAACGGTTCAAGTTCCGCCACCATCGGGCGTTTTCATAGCGCAGGTTATCAACCAGGACTGCTCGATGAGCAGTTGCTTTTTCGACGTCCGGTTGTCCCGGTGTTCCGTTGTCGACGGATGGCGGTTTCATTGGCAATGGCAGAAACGAGGCAATCAACCAGGCTGTGGGTAACAAGGTAAGTATCATGTATAGATAGCGAGAGAGAGTAGGGGACATACCTAATGGAAAGATAAAACCAAAGCAAAAACTGAACACTTGCATATTTCGTCTACTCCATATATATTCGCCAGATTCGTCGTATGGTGGGGCTCTCCATACCTTTCTCTCAGTTGAACGGAAGCGTTTATCGGTGTACAGGTGAGGTGACCAGACAGCTCTCGGGGTATCTTCGCGAGAAGGCTCGGGCGTAATCTCGTCTTCTCCGACAATGCCGGCCCAATGTGTTCTTGGATCACGAGAGTCTCGACGAATTGCCTTGGGCTTAGGCTCAACTTGGACTGGCTCTGGCTCCTCTACCTGTATTTCATCTTCTGGTATCGGTGCCGACTCCTGCCGCCGTGCTGGCTGTGGCTGTGGCTGTGGCTGGTCCTGTCGTTGTACAGGCTGGCTCCCTCGGCGAGGCCGAGTTCGCGGACAGGATATGTTTCCACGTGGTACACGGACTACAGCTTTATTTGACATCTCCTCCAAAGGTTCTGAGTAGGAAACGTGGGTCACGGCATGCATATCTCGAGGGGTATTTGGTCTGCTAACTTCCACCAGAGAAACAGCGGAAAGGAAGGAAAGGTTTCCGCCTTGGTAGTATAGCTTTGCCCACTGGGGAATTGTAGTTAGAAATTGACTTGCTGTTGACCCTGACCGGCTTAGGGAACCATGTCTAGAGAGGGATGACCGGTAGCTGAGGGTAGCGGATGTCTTATGCTTTAGAACACGCAAGGCATGAAGGTGAGTAATGCGGTCACTAACTTCGTCCATCTCGGATTCATCCATTAGCGAATAATTTGGCATCTCAGATTGTTGACGTGCGGAGAGCCAAGATGGTTCAGTTTCAGTCACCTGTCGGGACCCGTCTGGGGTACCGTCAAGGGATAATGACGGAAGGTTGTGTCGTTCATCCCTTGGAATTGACATGTCGGACGAGACAGAAGATAGTTCCGGGTTCCAGCGCCGCGTGGGAGGACGGGCTACTGCCAATGGCTCTGGAATAGAGACTATGGACGTCTCTGCGTACGAGCCGGATGACGACGGTGGACGTAGTATTGGGTACTGCATAGGGACACCACTGCTCATAACGGCCTGGATATCAATGTCTGACGGCATGCTGGGTAAGGAAACATTTCCTTGACTTGACCGCGCATTGAGATCAAGAGTTGATGTCGATGGGTATGACCTTAGTACCGGGACCGGAGGGCTTGATGGTATGGATGGGGTGCGGGAGTCGGATCGGGCTACGGAGGCCGGTTCTGAGGTAGTGTTTTGATCTCCCCGATTGCGGATATATCTTATCGCCGTTCCAAATGAATTTGCTGAAAACAACGAGGACTCGGAAGCGCGGGTCCTGATGACGTTGGGTGAGGAGCCAATGGGAAGCAAGTTTGGCGATGAACTATTCAACGGTACTAGGTTTGGGCTGGATGTATATCCAATTCGAGCAACATTCGAGGACGCATTAGAGGAAGTCGAGCGGCCGCGAGTAATAGCACAATCGAGTCGGAGGGAGCCATCAGACGGAGGCGATCGGCTTGAAGGAGACTGGCTTGAGCGGGACAGCTCACGTTCTCGTTCATTGATTAACTTTATAGTAGCAGCAACAGACCCCGGAGGCGCAACAACTACGCTGCTGCGGTCAGAAGATTTCTCCTGGTCATTCCCATTCCCACTATAGCCGCTCTCAGAGGCCTGTGGGGTAACTGAGCGAGCGACGGTGGTGTTGCTCGACTTTGGATCCTGGCCCCATATTGCGCTCGAGGTGTTCCCCATAACAGTGGAAAGATCTGAGGCACTTCCAGTGGGTTGTTGGCTGCGGCTGGGAGATTCTAGATCTGGAGAAACGCTGGCCCTGGAACCCCAGGTATCAGAGGGGGTTATTGTTGAAGGGGTCCCGCTTCTAGTGATACGGCCTCTAGCAGAGGAAGATCCTGGGGGTGGTAGCATATGAGCGGCCTTGGTAGGATATGGGTTGGCGGAGTATATGTCAACATCGTCCGGGTTGCTGAAAACATCATCATCATCAACATCATACTCTGAGTAGTCGGTCTTGTTTGATACCAGTCGAAGCGTTGGTGAAATTGGGCGAATAGACGAGGCTGGAGAGATGACATTGTTCTGCGAGTTTGTTCGTTGATGGAGCGGACGGCGTTTGGGTGTTGACCTTCTAGAAGAAGGGGAAGATAAAGACATGATCGTGGATCTTAGCTCGACGTATTCCTCATCGCATTACTCCAGGAGAAAACGGGCTGCCGGAAATGTGATTCGTTCTCTTTCAACAGGAAACGACTCTGGGGGAGGGGGTAATAGTAGTATATAGATAGAAAGATAAAATAGAAACAAGGATATAAGAACGAATGCTCCACGAACTGCTGGAGAACGGAATCGCTGATATGGCGGCTATAGATAGTGAAGGGACCCCGAAATAAATTAAGGCCGAAGAATCGAAGAAGGAATGGGTCTCGTAGCGAGCGCTGAAGAATGGATTAATGAATAAATGAATGACAAGGCGTCTATCGGATAACCGCCTTAAGGAGCTGGATGCTGGACCCTGGGGGTGCTGCAGTTGAAAGACTGATGCTGGAAGTGTTTCAAAGACGGTTAAATTTAGAGTGAGTGTGGTGTGCTAATTGGGTAGCACGCAAAAAGCTTATTAAACGGGTAGAATTATGGGTGAATTATATAAATATATATATAAAGAGCGACTGTGAAGAAAGGGAACGACAGACAAGAAACACGGGCAAAGAGAGAACGAAGAAAAAACCGAGAGACGTCGAGGAGTTGAGGTTGTTGCAGCGGAAGGAAAAGAAGATTCGCTCAGCCGAGATGAAAAAGGGAGAAAGAGCGCAAGGCAGTCACGGGGTCTTAGTCATCAGGTACGTGGAGGGCGGTGAGCGGGCCGTTTCTTTTTAGTTTAAAGTTGGTGGACCCACACTGGCAGAAATATCGAGATAAGATCAAGATAAGATAAATATAGATCGAGCAGGCCAGACTTGACAGTAGAGACGAAGAAGAGCAACGGGATGAAGAAAGTGATGGTGATGGTGGCAATGGCAAAAGACGTGGGAGGCGGATGTAGAGTAAGGCGGAAAGAATGGGTTGGCTTGGGGGATAGCTGCAGGGCCGGGAGCAGGAAGTACCCTGGGTCGGGCAGCACGCACGTCCTGACTGGTTGGGGTCGAGCAGCGCGCGTCGTTGTACGGAGTTCGCAGAAGGGGAACGACGTGCTCCACTTGGCGTACCTTGTTACAGTCGGCTGCCAGAAGTCACCACGCCAGACCCACTATCTAGAATGATATCAATATAAGAGTTATCCACTATGACTTAATCGACAGAGCTTTTCCCCCAAGAGAAAAACAATAATAACACTTAGTTAGATTAAATTATAGGGAGGTGGAGAGGAGAGAAGAAAATATTAGATAAAATAGCTTGTTCAACAAACAGCTTCTATAGAAATTTTATCGTACCGGGTAATTACCTCGGAGAAGTCTCCATGATGGCTTTTTATGGCTGCTTGGTCGAGTAGCATGTGTCAGGTCTGCGATTGTCTTGCATAGACCCAGCAAAGAGGCTGAATTTCAGCTCGGAAAGAAGAAAAACAGTGCACAGTCAACAGCCTTGGAGGGAGCCAGAGCTATGGTGAAGCAAGTGGCTTTGTAGATGGCTAAGAGCGAGGCCTCCTTTCCGTTCTAGCGTTCGCTCGGTACACCATTGGCTTTTCCGATGGGCATCAGCGTACCGGGCTTCCTAACGACAGTGCCTCATGTCAAACCGAGGAGACATGAGACGAACGTTTGGATTTGATACAGACCATCCAGAAGACGTCGATGCTTGAGGTACAGTGCATGAGCTAGGCTTAGTTACGAGTTGTCGCTGTTGGTTTTTACTTTTATGCAGGTTGGCCTGCAACTTCGTCTCCTGGCCAAAGATTTTTAACGCCACGATTTCCTCGAAGCACAATTGGTTGAGCAAAAGGAAAATACACTTCTTTCCCCTGACTACTTTATGACTTGCCTCGCTTTTTACAGCCACCCTTTACCCCATGCGAATAACTTCTATCCCAGGTCATATAACTGGCATTTACTTTCGATAGCGATCGCATTTTCCAGTTCTTCAAGCTATATGATCGCCGTGTGTCACATCCTGAAAACCCCGAATCCGGCTGATTCGGAAGTAAATGCCCTGAAGACGGAAACATAAGTTCGTGGCAGATATTCATGTAATGTGATAGGCTATCCAGGGATTAAACAGGGCCCTCGTAACCAAAAAAAATATGAACTGTCGTATAATGTTTAGAAACAAGTATAACTGGACTTCGTACCCCGGTCTCAAGCCCTTCCTTGTATTTGTTTCTTTTAGTGGGACTCTTGTACAACCAGCCCAACAGCTGTCTGATGGAGAAGACGCAAATGTCAACGAGGCATATGTTGTGTGCTGCTATTTCATGCAGTCGTCGGTGATGTACCCACTCGGAGACATGCCATTTCTTCTCCTGCATGTCTGCCAGTTCTTGGAGCGCTATCACTAACATTCTTTCGCTTCCCATTCGCAACGAAGATACCCCTTGCAGAAGGAGGCACTGCATTGAATTTTTTTTGTTATTGGCCTCCAATAAACTCAGAAAAGATTGGCAACCAGGCACTCCACCCCCAAAGGGCAAGCGAAATTCTGGTCCACAAGCCAGGAGGCTGGGAACGGGACTGTGTTCGCCTTTTAGTGGGAATGAAAAAGAAGCCCACTCATCTTTCGGGCCTTCGGATCTTTTAACTGCCCTCCATCCGCCTGCGCACCCTGTCTCTTCTGGCGCTGGATTAACGGAGCTGTCGTGTTTGAAATTCCGCCGGTGCCGCCGATGTTGTTGGCCAGGAGTCGCTGGCTGAAAAGGCTGAAACGAGGAGGGCTAGCCTAAATCGGAATATCTATCACGTGACTTATTATATAAGTAGAGCTTACGTTATTTATATTATGTAATAAACTAAATGGGAAGGAGTCTTTGTGAGCGAAATAAAGTGAAGGTCCAGACCGCGATGCACGTGACCCTGTTAGTTGGGCTGGGACGAGTATCACAAAAAGTTCCATCGTCACGCCTTGAGACACCGGTCAACTCCCTGTGGCTGCACGTTTGGTTCTGGAGTTTGCCTTGTCTTGTGAAGCGTGGATCGGGTTTAATTAGACAACCCGTCTTGTCTTACCCTATGAAGGTCGGGAACATGGCCTCTGGGCTCTTCGAGAGGCTGAGGCATTACTATCATGGAGATAAAGGTACGTGAAGGAGGTAGTAGAAGAAAAAAAAAGGAGGGGAATACTGTAGCACCTTGCCCTCCAAAGTATACAGACGATGTTCTGATATTAGAACCAAGAACCTGAGCCTCTTATTTCGGTAGCCACTGCCGTTTGGTGTTCGGTATGTATGCGAATATAAACTTGAACCCCAACGTGTGCCTAGATTCACGGCATGAGAGAGAGAGTTAACCGTTATCAACAGATACTATGCACCATTTTATATGTTGCCCCATTGTATACCTCCAAGGCAACTAGGCCAGGGCCAACATTGAGTCGTGATGCGCCGTCGCTGATAAAAGCTCGCATCCGAGCAGTTATGGTGTCCTGCTTTTTCTGCAGCATAGCTACGTTTTACTTTATCGTTCATAGCGGGAGGAGTACTCCGCTGCAAGGCCTTCAACTCCTGGGATGGTGGCCGATTGGACTACCAGAAATAGGAAAAAGCCTTTTGCTCACAGCCATGTTGTTCATGGGCCCATTATTTGAAATGGGAATTGCTGAAGGAAGGTGGAGGAACTGGGTTAGAGGAAGAACCCTGGTCCAAACACTTCGATCCTGGACAGGCTGGAGGAACTATGTTGCTGTCAGTCAAGGCTCCTTTCTCTGCGCTGTGCTATAGTACGCCACGATCTAATGAACATGTAGGGCCCCATAACTGAGGAAGTGACTTTCCGGTCTATCATCACCGTTATCCATTTAATGGCAAAGATGTCCCCAGGCAAGATCGTGTTTCTGACTCCGCTATATTTCGGTATTGCACACATCAACCATTTCTACGAAACCAAGCTGGCGCAACCGGACACTCCCCTTGTCCCAGTCTTTGTCCGTTCTCTCTTCCAATTTACTTACACTACGATATTCGGATGGTACGCCACCTTTCTCTACTTGAGAACGGGTTCTCTTCCGGCTGTTATCTTGGTGCATTCATTCTGCAATTACTGTGGTCTACCTCGTCTATGGGGACGAGTTGAGACGTCCATTCCGATCGAGAGCACTTTGATAAGGGCTTCTAAGTTCGATGAGGATGAGAACATATTTGGCAGCGTTGATGGGGCAACCGGACTGGGCTGGAGTGTGGCGTATTACATCCTTCTCTTTGCAGGGGTGGGATTGTTCTATTATCAGTTTTGGCCGCTGACGGAATCTTCAAAGGCCTTGGTATCGTTTTCGCCAAAAATGCATTAAAACCGGGAATAGGAGTGATGGAGCATCTTGAGCGCCACTGATTATTACTTTGTAGTTCGCTGATATTCTTCTTTTTGGCAAGTTGTTTTAATTCTAATAGGGCAGTAGAAACATACGACGCCTTTTAATAGCAATACTTAATAACCTGTTCATTAAGGTAGTTATCGCCGAAAGCCCGATGACTAGTTACTCCCAGTTGCCTCGGAGATAAGCTTTGCAACTTCAACGCGATCGAAATTTCTCTTCGCGATAAGAATCTCTCGGCTTCCACCTATCTTTATTCGATAGGTAATGCGCAAATTGTGAACTCTTGTCTTCTCACTACAGAGAAGGTAGGAGACATTACAATGCGGTGGATACGCAGTCATGTCTTTCGTGGTCGGCAAATAAGGTGCAACGGGTATTCAACTTCGCGGCGCATCTCGATTCCTATCCCTCCGCCGTTCCCTGTCGTCCAATCATGCCCTGAACCGACATGCTCTTGCGCAGCGATGCCAGCTGGCCTGGAAATTGACTATGACCAAGATCTTAATGGTACCATGGCGCCTTATGCCCAGCAAGTCCTCATATCCACTGGACAGCGAGATTGGCGAAGCCGAATAGAAGAGGATGGACAAGACCAGGGCTGGGGTATACTGGGCAGCAGACTGAAGAAACTCATGTTTCGGACAGGGAAATTTGCCGACGTAAGTTACTTTTCGCCTTTTCTGTCCAAACTATCTCCAAGGGCTTTTGTTCTAATTCACATTTTCTGGATTTGTAGCCCTACAATAACATAGTTATTACAAATTCCTCCTTTACACCTTTGGCCGGGGTGTCGGATAAATCTTATGCTTCCGCTCTACTCTTTCCAAGCTTCAAGTACATCCCTGATATTCCACTTGACGACGATGGCTTGGATCGATTCGTTCGCGCGTTCCTTCTCCCATTAAACCCCCATAAGGCACACGAAATTCTACCCGCTGATAAATTGGAAGCGATGAAAAGAGTTCCGGATCTCCAACCTACATTTGAATCTATGAAGAGTATAGATCATTCACCTACGATTTTGATTTGTGGCCACGGAGGGCGAGACCAACGGTGTGGAGTTATGGGTCCTTTGCTGGAGTCCGAGTTTAGCAGGATATTGAAAGATGAAGGTTATACTGTTGGAAATACCCCGGTCGATAGGATAAATCATGCGAACGTTGGCTTGATAAGTCATATCGGTGGTCATAAATATGCTGGCAATGTTATTATATATATTCCCCCATCTCTAAGGTCTAACTCAGGGGATGTCAATACATTGGCTGGGAAGGCTATATGGTATGGTAGGGTAGAGCCGAAACATGTACAGGGAATCATAAGAGAGACGGTTTTGAATGGCCGCGTGATAAAGGACCATTTCCGTGGGGGTATAGATGGAGATGGTACAGTGCTACGTCTATAGATATGTTCTAGATTTTATGTGTATAGATTATTCGACATTTATAATGCCGTACAACTAAGCCATCAAGCTGAGATTCGCAGAAGTAGGGAGCACATTATCTATATTGTATATATTGTCCAGATCATGATCTCACTTTTGCCTAGTATCCAGCACCATTGGCAACGAGAAAGTCGAAGGCCTTTCTACCTCTAGACTCTTTCGCAAAATGGAGTGGTGTTTTTTTGAATCGTGATCTAGCATTGATATCGGCCCCTCTGTGAACAAGAAGCTCAACAACACTCAGTTCCCCTTCGAAAGACGAGACATGAAGTGGTGTGTAACCTTTGTCACTTTTTGCCTCTATATAAGCCCCTTTATCAAGCAGTAGCTCGATGATACTCAGCCTCCCACGCCATGCCGCAAGATGTAGCGGCGTCGCTCCCTCTTTAGTCATTGCGTCAATAGAGGCGCCTTCCTCGAGCAGCAACTCAGCCATTTCCTTTTGCCCGCATTGAGCTGCCGTGTGTAGTGGTGTCATCCCCTCTAGGATAAGCCCGACGAGTACGCTATCCCAGCCGGAGTACCCGCCCTTCTCGCGTTTTGCCTCGATATTTGCTCCTTTCTTAAGTAGTAGCCTCGCTACCGCCACGTAGCCCTGAGAAGCTGCGCCGTGTAGTGGTGTCCAGCCTTCTTTTTGTTTCAGCCTAATGTCAGCGCCACTTTCAATGAGCCGCATGATCGTTCTCTCATTTCTAGCTTGTATTTCCCTTTCGGCTATCACACCTTCTCTGTTAGTGATATCCCTGGCAACATCCTCTTTTGACTTTGTTATTGCAACTTCAAGTGGCGTGTTGCCGTTCTTATTTATTGCATCGACATTCACTCCCTTCTCAATAAGTAGCTTGACCACTCCCTCCTGTCTTGCTGCTGCTGCAACGTGCAGCGGTGTACCAAGACGGAATGTTTGAAGCACTCCCCACCCAGGGTCATCGTCCTCTGCCTTGGTATCGGCGCCGTTCTCGAGAAGTAGCTCAACTACTCTCTCATGCCCATATTGCGCCGCAAGATGAAGTGGCGTGAAACACGTCTTAACTGTCTTTACCTCAATACCAGCTCCCCGCTGGATAAGTAGCTTCACTACTCTCTCATGCCCAGATTTTGCTGCAAGATGGAGCGGCGTGTATTGATACTCCCGGGATTTGGCCTCAATATCAGCACCGCTATCGATAAGTACCTCGATTACTCCGTCGTGTCCAAAGTCCGCCGCAAGGTGAAGCGGTGTGTAGTACTGCTCCTTTGTACTTACCTTTAATTTTGCCTTGTGACGAATAAGCATGCGGACTGTTTCTTCTTCTCCTCTTCTTGCTGCACAGTGTATTGGCCGTTCTCCGTCGTCTGTCATTGCCTCAACATCAGCGCCCTTCTTAATCAATAAATCGACAACTTCCTCCATTCCAGCTGCAGCAGCATTATGTAGTGGTGTCGCATTAGAAAGACTACCCGGTCTTTGTGGATATATTGAACGATTGCCACAGGTAACCATAGAGCCACGCCCGAGGAGCAGCATGGCTATTTCCTTATGGCCCGTACTCGTTGCTTCATATAGAGGAGTTTTGCTGTCGTTGTCCCAGGCATTGACATCAGCCCCTTTATCCAGAAGCCGCTCTACTACTTCTCTGTGCCCGTTTTTTGAGGCATAATGTAGCAGTGTCGTCCGTTTGGATGATGTGGACCTGGAATCGGCTTTGTTAATGTCTGCCCCTTTGTCAATAAGCAGCAAAACCACCCGCTCATTTCCACCTATTGCCGCATGAACCAATACTCGCAAATCTTCGTTGTCCTTTGCGTCAACATCTAGCCCTTCATCAACTAACAGCCTAGCTACTGCTTCATGACCAAAATGTGCGGCGGTTATTAACAGCGTCCATCCAGAGTGTAAGATGTTGGTACTAGCGCCTTTCGCAATTAGAAATTTGGCTATCTTTTCGTATCCATACCTTACAGAAAGGTAGAGTGGATAGCTTCCGTCCCTTGCCTTAGCATCAATGTTCGCGCCACTGTTTACCAACAGCTCAACTACTGCCTGGTCTTGATTGCGCACTGCATAATGCAATGGGGTCATTGTGTCATTATCCGTGGCGTTGATAAAAGCACCATGACCAATTAAGAGCTTCACTAGGGTATCATGTCTGTTGGAGACCGCTAAGTGTATCAATTTCTCACCAGACTTGCTTTCAACCCGCATGTTAACATCGTATTTAGTCAAGAGAGAGAATACACCCTCTAAGCCATTCAAGACAGCCCACTGTAGTAATGTATATCCGTCCTCGCCTTTGGCTTCGATATCGCCACCACGGCTTGTAACAATGAAGTCAAACGTAATTTTAAGGCCCGTCAATGCTACCCAACGCAATAGCGGCATGTTTGGTAAGTCCCTCTCGAGTTTTAGTAGCTGGCATGGATCCGATTGACCATCCACAGCAAAGCAGTGCTGCGGCATCCAGCGGTCGTCTTCCATCTGGTGGAGCTTGCCATTGTCGCCCTTCTCAATAAGGTAGCTGGCTACTCTCGTATGTCTTTTCACTTCAGCAAGCTGCCGAGGCGTCCAGCCCTCTCTATCACTTGCGTTAACTTTAGCCTGCTTCTCAACTAACAGCTTGACCATGTTGAAGTGCCCGTTCATAGCTGCAAAGTGAAGAGGTGTCCACTGGACATATTGATCCTTTGCATTGACGTCTGTCTCCTTACGAAGAAGCATATGGACAATTGCTTCGTGCCCGATGGCCGCCGCACAATGGAGGGGAGTCCATCCAAATATGCAATCTTTGGCCAGGACGTTAGCGCCCTTGTCCGCTAACAGCTGAGAAACGAGTTCATGCCCGTTCGCTACTGCGTAGTAGAAAGGTGTAACGCCATTCATATCCTGTATATCTAGTTCAGAGCCCATCTTTTCCAATAGCAATGCAACTACCGGCTCGAATCCTTTCTCGGCCGCCAAGTGTAACGCAGTGCGCCCCTTAGCATCACGAGCACTTATACTCTCACCAAGAAAGTTGATAATGAAGTCAACAACGGCTAAGGACCCTCCCCAGGCTGCGCGATGTAGGGTGGTTTCTCCATCAAAAGTACGTTGAGGATCTTTGGTATACTCGCAGAGCAGCTCAACTACCTTGCAATTCCCTCTTTCAGCAGCGAGATGTAGTGCTTGTTGTCCTAGTCTATCCTGGGTATTCGCGTCTGCATTGAATTGACTGAGGAGCAACTTGATAACCTTAGAATGCCCTCTCAAAGTAGCATAGTGCAATGCTGTCCACTGATACTCGTCTTGGTAGTTGGGGTCTACCCCAAGAGATAGGCATTTGTAGACATGTTCTTCACTGCCGGCTTTGGCCGCGGATACTAGGCTCGAGCCTTCGGCTTTCTGTTCTTCATTGCTGCAATTGCTCTGGTCAACTTCACTTTTGGCTTCCATTTCGTCAGTTCCACTAACCAACGCGGAGTTTCGCTTTGCGCTGTTTTCGTTGTCGAGAGCCTGGACAAGGTCCCAAGCTGGTCGATCAACATCTTTAGCCTCCTCCATATTACTCAATATCCTAACTTGCATTTCCTTGACAGCTTTCGTTTCCTTTATGTATTGTTTCAGCGATGCTCTGCTGAAAGACAAGCCGCCAATGTATCGACAGTGGAGCTCTCCTGTTTCCCCTTTGGATTCTACTGCTTCCACTAGCAAACCCTTATCTGGTGACTCTAGGTCAGGTTCAATCAGGAGGACATATCTTTCTGGACGCTTCAAAGCATGTTGGATCCTGTCCGTCAGTACAGGCTGCTTGTAATCCCAAGAGTACCTTTCACTGAGGGTATTGTCCACAGGAACAAGTTTCCATTCCCCAACAAGGTCTCCACCGTTCTCAATAACTAGGGGGTTTCGGTTGGATGCGGTGGGCATATTGAACAGGCTGGTTGGACACCATATCCAGTTTTGGGTCATGGTTGCTGAACCGTGATATAGATGTCCATGGGAAATTTTGTGAAACTTCTCTAAAATGCGAGTGTATAGAGCCGACTCCAGAACCGACTCTCGCCGGTTCTTGGACTGTATATTAACACCTAACAAGAGACTGGCAATAATTGCTTTGTCCTTGGAAACTGAAGTATAACGTGAGCCCAAGGTAGCTAAGAGATCGTTCAATGTTGTGATCCCATCTCGAAGGTTCCTAATAATGTTTGTTGAGATTCTATGGGATTCTGATATTTCAGAATCAGTGCTCTTTGCAAGAATGTCTTCATCCAGATCTTTAATAAGAGGGCGACCGTAGGGTCCCTTAAAGATCACCTTCACCTTGCGAGACTCCGCTAGCTCCAGCGCTGTCCAGCCTCGACTAAACCAAGGTGACATGAGAATAGCAAAGCATGAAGTTTCAGCATCAATCCATTCCCAGTTCCGAAGAAAGCAATCATGGACAAGGGTAACCCGAGAATACTGATAGTTGCGCTGCATATCTCTAATTGCCTGCGCCCGAGCGGCCCTTTCATCGGGGATGGAGATAGTATCCCACCAGATCCCTTCACATTGGAACTGCTCTGCAATGGTTTTGAAATATGAATATAGACATGAGTTCACCCCCTCCCCGCGCTGACGCCAGTGTCCCGCTCCTGTGCCATCTGACCAAACATGCGAGATGGCCATGAAGGGGCGAGGGAAGTCGAGTAAAGTCCGCCCATCCAGCGCCCAGACAGTCGATTTTCCTTTCCAGGTGGCTTCTTCTAGTTTATCTTCGGGAAACACCCGCAGCTGTTCACATTTACTGTCATTGCACTCGTGCCGCCGTGGAAGCTTCGTGGAGTCAAGGCTAGAGAGCTGACAATGATCGATCTCGCAATGGTCATGGCCGCTGTGGCTAGGGACCGGCTTGCCAACTGGCAGCAGCTCTGGGAGAGCCTTGCCAGCAACAGCCCACACTCGGTTCGGACAGAGGTTGAACGTCTTCGTTGCCTTTTCGAAAGCTTCGAAAAGACTCCCATTCGGGCTCACCGAGCTGCTGGTATCTGCCAATGCTAATGGGTCTTGGATTGTTTCGCCCTGCTGACGGGAGACATCGTTGGGGGCTTGTGAGGTGTCCCGTGGAGGTTCTGAATGGCTCAAAGGGCATTGGAAGCGACCTTGAGGCATCCTCAACCACTCAATACTCTGTGGGGCTGGGGGATATGCAGGGCTAGGGTGGTTGCGTGGGGGATGGTATTAGTAGAATTATATGTCGGGGTTCCAGTGTCTTGTACCGGCCTTATTATGGTTAGGCTTCTTCAGAGCGTCCCGACCCGTCCTTGGCGAGTAAATGCAGGAACACTCTCTGAAAGGTACTTTGGGCTGTACTGATAACTAGGTAACGATGTAAGTAGGAAAAGAAAACGAGGGAGAAGAGAAATGGAAGCTAGCAGATAATAACATGTTAATATATGCATACTCGCCCTCTCGGGAAACATCTCCAACAATGCATGACGCCTCAGCCGCCTTGCTGTACCCAGTGTTGAATGTTATCTCTTGTCGCAGAGGCAGGCGGCTATGCATGAGCCAGTAACGAGCTGGTGCATCTCGCAGGAGGAATCCTTCATGCATGAATCTTAGATTGCACCAACAGCCTTCGCCTATTTGCCGCCAGCGCCCAAGCCCCGTTGTACGGAGTAGGCGGTGCTCATATGAGCGCTTCAGACAGCATCATCCTTGTGCCGTGGCCGTATTCAGATGGATGTTATTGGTGGTGTCGGCCCGCATCCTTGGGCTGTGTAAAACAACAAAAACCCTTGGAAGCCTTGCCATCATAAATATATATATCATCACCACTGCTTTTAGACTGGGCTAATATTCTGGAGTACGATTTCTTATCCTCGTTGAAACGGCCTCACATGGCTCCTCTCGCATCAGGATTATTTTCTCGTGCCAGCTTCGACTCGTCTATAACTTTTGGCGAGTTCAGAGATCAGTGGATCACGCCAGGCGATGTCTTCAGCATTCTCCTTATCCTCGGCAGCGATGTCGTGCATTGTGCCCTCGCCCAGCTTGCAGGATCTGGGGTAGCTCCAGTGTCATTTTCTTTTGGTACAGCCCACGCTCTCGGAAAGGCCTCTATCGCCATGCTAATCGGTGTTCCTCTTTAACTATATAGGATGGGTCGCATATTCGATCGCGGCTTTGAGCTCAGCAGTCGGCGAGAACAAACTGATGCCTCCTGACCCCGACTGCAAGTGCAAAGTCATCAACGGCAGGGGTGGCTATGTCCGTGATAACTCGAGCTGGATTCTGGGCCGGATCGTGCGAGACTTCGGCCATTGGAAGGACAATGAAATACAGAAGAAGTTAGACAGCGTCTTGGATCAAAAATTTGAGAAGATGAGGATGAGGGATAAGGATGCGGAGAGACCGCCCATGGCGGGCCTGATAGTGTCCATCTACGAGCCAAGCACAAGCATACCGACAGGCACGGTCAAGCGAGATATGGTGTACTGGATGGGCCTGGCGGTCTTGGTTTTGCAGCTTGCCATCGCCTCCGTCGCTTGTGGTGTCTATGGCGAGTGGGGGACGCTCTTTGTCACAGTCGTCGGGATAGTCCTCTCGCTTGCAACAGGCCTGCTCCCTCAGTGGAAGAAGGAGAAGTGGGCTTGTCGGCGCAAGGCCAAGGACAGCTACATCCTAACAAGGGGGAACGGTTCTCAGCATGCCATCGTCGTCCGGGGAAACCGCCGCGGCTTCAACCTAGAAGACCTAGCGTCCGGCCAGGATAACGTCATGGTAGCGACTAACCTGCTCACCAGCATCGCTCTCCTCGTCCTGGCTGTCCTATGGATTCTGCTACTGATCACCGCAGCGGGAATAAAACATAACACATGGTTTTTACTTGCCGTTGGCTCCATTGGCATACTACAAAATATCTATGTAGCCGGTGCTCCGCGTCGGCCTGAGAATTTCGGTATTCCCCTTGACTTCGTCGAGGTCATCGGCCAGCCGAGCACAATGGAAACACTTCTAGAAGTCGAGGAGAAGTACGAAAAGGTAGGACGTTCCATGCTGGAGGAGTTTTTCCCGGGGTCGCTGACCGGATCGGAACAAGAACGGTGGGATGAGATCGCGCGTAACCACGGTGCAGCGAAGAAGGACGCGCAGTAGCTGTAAATAGCTAGCTGCTGGAATATGCTATCAAAGGTTTATGTGAAGGGTCGTCTTAGAGACAAGAGGTTGCAACTAGGGAGCGATGAAGTGGAAGCTAATGTCTGGCCTTACTCAAGGTCGAATTCATGATATCAAGATGAGATGTTCTTTACGAGCGAAGATAACTTTATTATTAATACACATTTATGCTTAATAAGCGGTATTGGCAGACTTAGACGAAAAGGGATTAGCTGCCATATATTTATAGATTTATAGAGAAATGAATGACTAATACAAGATAGACTTTAGGCAACGATGATTCATAGTTGCTCATCCGGCGTCTTCATGAACAACCTGAGGCTTAGCAGGCACTGCTCAGAAAGCAAAGTGAAGAACACGCTGCCTGCGATACCCCTTCCTCTGCCACCAAGATGGTATATATACTACAGCGCTTGCTCGGCCTTTTTCGAGTAGCCAACATCATTTCATCCAAGTTCAATCCCTAACGAGAACCCTTGCTTGTAAGGTTTTCTACACTCAACTAGTTAAAGGAGAAACAACCTATACCATCAAACTGGACGGCACCGGAACTACCTGCGACCAGCTACTAGCAGCTATGGATAAGAAGTGCCCTTCATCTTGCAGGCTATGCAATTTAGCTCTCGATAGCCCAGATGCATGGCGGCAGCACGCCCGGAGCGAATTACAGTAAGCTTTATACTTTTCATTGAAAAGGTGGAAGAAAGAAAAAACACGAAAAAGACCTCTAACAGATCCGTTGAAGTATACATAACATACGTCTGCGAGTAGCAGAACCCGGAAGCACTATATTACCCCTCCGGTCAAGGACGAAAACGGTCATCAGCCCAAGTCATGATTCCCATTCTGAAGACGAATCAGATGAAAGTGACGAAGAACTCCCTTGGGCGTTGGAATTTGATCCCGATCTCTGCCTGTTCTGTGGTGAAGTAAACACCTCACTCAATGACAACTTTTTCCACATGTCAAAGGCGCATAGTTTCATTATACCATATAAAGATAACCTGGACGGCGACATTGAATCCCTTCTCGGACACTTATACCTTTCCATTTACAAGTACCGCCGATGCATCTTGTGCTCTACACAACGAAGAACGGTTGAAGGTATTCAACACCACATGATGGCTAAGGGCCACTGCAGATTCGACATTTCTCCAGATACCGCGGATTTCTATAAATTACACCAAGCGCACGATAGTACATCATACAAGTCGACCGCGGATGTTAACGCGTTGACACGACTGTTTCCACCCAGAACCGGAGGGCATCGTCGTACTCGAGCGTCCGCAAAGTATCGCCGATCGCTTGGTCAGGGAGATTCTTCTCCCCCTTCGCCGCCCAAAGCCACAGAAACGGAAGAAAGTACTGCCCCTGCAGAAGATAAGCCTACCTCATCTTCATGTACTCAACTATTACGGCTTAGTCGAGGAGATCAGCAAAGCCTAGCGCATCTGTCTAACCCTGAAGTCCGATCTTTGCTAGCCATCAGAGCAAGGAACATTGACCAGTCCAGGCGAGAAGAGACAAATACCAAACTGAAACTTGAGAAGGCAGGAAACATAACCTTGACAGCCCATTTTAGGGCAGATACCTCTAAGAGATTCAGAGGCCCTTGGGGATAGTCCAGCGGATAAGGGTTCAACTTTGTATAGTATTTTAGATCGGTGCTCGGTATTTAATCCAGTAACGATGGTTAGTCGTCATACCAACTCCTAACCGTAATTTAATGACACGGTAGGGATATAACTATGTATCTAGAGGACGAATATGTGTTAAAAAATTCATCGTTCTAGTCGTACCTAAGTTATGTAGCCACCTGGGCACCTGAGGCCTGAGACTGAGGCTCATTATCAATCTGATAAGATCTCGCACTAGCCATGATAGGTATGGCGCAGGAACCAACCGAAATATGAAGGATCTCTCGAGCTCATCGCTTGCTTCTCCATGACAATTGCTAGGGAATAGAGATCTCCACATATATAATGAGCTCAGGCTGCGATGTGGGTTTCCTGTGCTATTCAAGGCCATATTCGATTCGGCGGGCCAGCTACGGTCTCACGCCACCTCCTGCATAGCTTTCGGTATCTCCCTGTTCGTACCGCAAGCACGCAAGTCAACGCTTATCAACCTGCTAAGAAGCTAGACCTTCTAGCTATTGATAAAAGATGGAAAGAAATATGGAAGGGCAGCGAGGTTTTGGCTCAGTCAACGAGCAGCAGCAGCAAGGAAAAAGCTTACGTGCTGCCTATGTTCCCCTACCCATCCGGAACCCTACACATGGGGCATGTTCGAGTGTACACGATTTCCGATGTTCTCGCTCGATTTAAACAGATGAAAGGCTACGATGTTTTACATCCTATGGGGTGGGATGCTTTTGGACTCCCAGCCGAAAACGCTGCCATTGAACGCGGAATCCATCCCGAAGGCTGGACCAAACAAAACATAGCGAACATGAGGGATCAATTGAAAGATTTAGGAATACGATTCGATTGGGATACAGTACGGATGATCATAGACCCCCTTTGGATACCTTTATCAAGCCCCAGGTGGCTTCAATAACAAGATTAGATGCTAATTGGTATTTGTTACTGTACCTATAGGAAGTTATGACTTGCTCGCCCGAATTTTACAAACATACCCAGAAGTTGTTTCTAATGCTTCACGAGAAAGGCCTTGCGTACCAGGCGGAAGCTGTTGTGAATTACGATCCAATTGATAAAACAGTTTTGGCGAACGAACAGGTAGTAACAATTACCTATGCAAATCGACGAAGGAATCAATGACGACTGATATATATGCTCCCCAAAAATAGGTTGATGCCAACGGATGCTCCTGGAGGTCTGGCGCAAAGGTCGAAAAACGGGAGTTAAAACAATGGTTTTTCCGGATCACTTCTTTTAAGGAAGCACTGCTTAAGGACCTCGATTCTTTATCCGGTAGCTGGCCGGATAGGATCCTGACAATGCAAAGACACTGGCTAGGAAAATCACGAGGTGCTCTTGTCCCATTTAAAATATTAACAGAAGAAGAATCTCTTGATATTGAAGTCTTTACTACCCGCCCTGACACGCTCCATGGCGTTCAATATATCGCATTATCTACCAGCCATCCAGTGGTAAAGAGAATAGCAGCTACAAACCCGGAGCTCCAAGAATTCATTGATTCTACAGGTTCACTACCGCCAGAGACGAAGGCAGGATTCAAATTACCCGGGGTCAAGGCTGTTAACCAGCTTTGTAATCTTGAAGAGAACCCCCATCTGCCGTCTTCTCTCCCAGTTTATGTTGCACCTTATGTCCTACCGGATTATGGGGAAGGTGCTGTCATGGGTGTCCCTGGACATGATTCTCGAGACTTCGGATTTTGGAAAGAGAACGCTCCTTCAGAACCTATTGTTTCTGTTGTTGTGCCATTGAAGCCAGGATCAGGCCCCAATGGAAAAAACGATGTCGACGTGGCGTTTTCAGGGCATGGTCAAACAACTGATATATGTGGATCTTACAGCAAGATGCCCTCAAAAGCTGCTGGTGAAAAAATAATCAACGACTTGAAAGGCAAAGGAAGCCGTGCCAGATTCGCCGAGAATTGGAGACTACGGGACTGGCTTATCAGCAGGCAGCGATATTGGGGTGCCCCTATCCCGATTATTCACTGTGACAGCTGTGGAGCTGTGCCGGTTCCTGCTAGTCAGTTACCAGTTGAACTTCCTGCTATTCCAGGGTCTCAACTCAAGGACAAGACTGGAAATCCCCTAGAGTCCGCAAACGAATGGCTACATACAGAGTGCCCTAGCTGCAAGGGGCCGGCTAAGAGGGACACTGATACCATGGATACTTTTGTGGATTCATCGTGGTATTTTCTAAGATTCTTGGACCCGAGAAACAACGATTTACCCGTGTCACCCGCAAAGTCTCGTCCTGTGGACATATATATAGGAGGTATAGAACACGCTATCCTCCACTTACTATATTCTCGTTTCATCTTCAAATTTCTTGCCAATGAAGGCATGATTGAAAATACTACGAACCCTCCAGAGCCATTCCTTAAGCTTTTGTCTCAAGGCATGGTTCATGGCAGGACCTACTCAGACCCTAAGACCGGTCGATTTTTACGGCCTGGTGAAGTGGACCTTTCCGTGAAAGGCTCTCCAGTGCTCACTGGGACCCAAATTCCTGCCAACATATCTTTTGAGAAAATGTCAAAAAGCAAATACAATGGTGTAGATCCAAATACTTGTATTGCAAGCTACGGAGCGGATGCTACGCGTGCCCATGTTCTCTTCTCCGCTCCTGTCAGTGAAGTATTGGAATGGGATGAAACCAAGATTATCGGCATTCAACGGTGGTTCAGCCGCATTTGGAAGGCCGTGG